CGTCACTGCTGGAAGATGGCAGGAGGGAGGGGCTACTATATTTGAGCAAAGATGGCCGCTCCCAGACTCAGTGATTGCCACGAAAATGTCTGTTTTTATTTTTTTACTGATTAACGCTAAATTCATTAAATCATGGCAAATGTGTTAGTTGTCGGTATAAATAATGATCTATTGATTATTCCTTACTGACCGGACTTTTCCTTTAACATGAAAATAAAACCACGGCTGCAGAAAACCAGCATTTCATACATTTTTGGGTGATATAATTCCCTCGCTGCAGGTGCTGGTTGTTGGCTGTGGTAACTCAGAGCTGAGCGAGCAGCTGTATGATGTTGGCTACAAACATCTGACTAACATAGACATCAGTGAGACCGTGGTGACTCACATGAACCAGCGGAACTCAGAGCGCAGACCTGATCTAACCTTCCATCAGGTGGATGCCACCCAGACTCCCTACGAGGATGCCAGCTTCCAGGCTGCTCTGGACAAAGGCACCCTGGATGCAATGGCCTCTGAAGAGGAGGGAGCTTTGGCCAGGAGGATGATCACTGAGGTTAGACCGCAGCAGATGGGATGGTTAAAGTAAACACATTGAAAAGGATTGATATTTTCATCCATCCCTGTGTATTTGCAGGTTAGCCGGGTCCTTAAAGTGGGAGGGCGGTATGTCTGTGTGACCCTGGCTCAGGAGAGTGTGGTTAAGCTGGCTGTGGAGCACTTTGTTCAGCTCGGCTGGGCGGTCAGGCTCCACTGCCTGCAGGAGGAGAGGGGGAGAGAAGAAGAAGACTCTTTCGCTCTACCTGTTTTTGTCCTCATCTCTACCAAGTTCCGCCAACCGATGCCTAATCCCATCCTTGAGATGTGCCTCGGAGACGATGGGGTACCGGTCCGGCACACGCGTGTGTGTGACCTTCTGTCTGCCGTGAGGGAGTACCAGGCTTACTCTGTTCTCAGGAAGAGGCTTCGTACAAACACGGACCCTCCCTCCAATCTTTCCCTAACCCTCTGTGACGCTAAGACAGGCCTTCCAAGATACACCCTCACAGTGCAGGATTGCCCCCCTGGAGCCAAAGTGCCCCGACCAAACCAGTTTGCTATATTTATAGGTGATCTCATCAATTCTCTGTCAGATTTCTAGTTTGTTTTTCTTTCTTCCATTGATTCTGATTGTGCGACTGGCTGCTCGTTTTGATAGTGCCCAGAGGGAGTGAGACGGCTTGGCTCTACAGCGCCCCAGAGGGCAGGAGGCAGCTGGCTGCCAGCGCCAACTTTCGCCGCCTGGTTATTGCTTCCATGCACAGGAATCAGGATTACACAGACATGCAAGCAGTCCAATCAGAACTCTCACCGGTGGTGATGGACTTGGCTCCGCCGGGTATGCCGACCAACCAGCAGGTAAACGCACAGACCTGCCTTGCAAGTATTCACACACCTTGAAGTTTTTCACCCTGCAGCCACAGAATATAATGTATATATTTGGGTTTTATGTGGGAAACAAACAGTTAAACCACTTGATACAAGGGATTAACAAATAAAAATCAATTTTTACTCATTTCAAATGCGTTAACAGTTTGCAGAACCTCTTTTTGTTCCAAATACAGTTTCATTTCTTTTGACCATCCAGTGACTGGAGGTTTTCCCCAATACAATTAAAACAGCAGAAGCTTTTACTGACTGGATGGGGAGCAGAGCTGAACAACAGTTTTTAAATCTGGTCACATATTCTTAATCTGGTTTAGATCTTAACTCTAATCCTAAAAACAAAGACTTTAATCCAAACCTTTTCTCTGGAAGTAAATTAGTAAGTCAAGTTTATTTCTATAGCATCTTTCACT